CATGTTATCAATACTTTATTAACATATTTTCTTCAAAAAAATTCAAAAAACTTATAAAATAACGATTATGACAATTGTCACTTTTCTATGGTACATCTTCACTAAATTTATATTTACACATGTTATTAATACTTATTTTAACATATTTTCTTCAAAAAAATTCAAAAAACTTATTAAATAACGATTATGACAATTGTCACATTAAAATATTATCCTTAAAAAGATCATATAAAATAACATCAGAAAAGTTTCATAAAATCCACATCATTTAATAAAAAATAGCGCAAGGTCTAAAAGTAAAAGGCTTGGTAATACGAAAGGCTAAAAAATAATATTGAATATAAAAATAACAAAGAAAAGGGTAGGTCTATAATTCGAAAGGCTGCATGATACGAAAGGCTAAAAAATAATATTGAAAATAAAAATAACAAAGAAAATGATTAATGTGTAATTTGATTGATTTATTGCTTTTTTTACGAGAAAAGTATTTTAATAATATTACATTATAATATATTAAAAAAATGGAAATTTTAAGATCTTTTCAATTTTTTTATTAATTCTTTGAAATAAATTGCGGTTTTAATTTTATTTAATTTTATTAATTTTTAATTTATATTTTTAATTAAATTATATTTATTTATTTAAAAAAAATGGAATATAATATATTAAAAAAATAGAAATTTTAAGATCTTTTCAATTTTTTTATTAATTCTTTGAAATAAATAGCGGTTTTATTTTTTTTATTTTTATTTAATTTTTATTTTTAATTAAATTATATTTGGTTATTTTAAAAAAATGGATTATAATATTTCAATTTTTTTATTAATTCTTTGAAATAAATTGCGATTATAATTTTATTTAATTTCATTAATTTTTAATTTATTTAATTAAATTATATTTGGTTATTTTAAAATAATGGAATTTTTAAAATTATATGTATATTCTATTTAAGTTTTTTTTCAAAACTAAATTGATAGTAAGTATAACGATATTGTGAGTACTGGATTAGGGAAAAGGCTAACATCTTATATGCAATTTTGAATATTTTTATATCATTATACTCAGAATTAAATTTCCTATCTAAATATGCTTTGATGTATTTTTTCACGTTATTGGTTCAAAAAATAAATTTTAAAAATTTTTTTGTGGTAAAAACGTTGGAAGGGAAAAGGCTAACATCATATATGCAATTTTGAATATTTTTATATCATTCTACTCAGAATTAAATTTCCTATCCAATTATGCTTAGATGTATTTTTTTACGTTTCCGGTTCAAAAAATAACATTTTTGTCGCGAAAACGTTCGAAGGGAAAAGGCTAACATCTTAAGTTTAATTTTATAAATTTTTATATCATTGAACTCAGAATTAAATTTCCTATCTAAATATGCTTTGATGTATTTTTTTACGTTATCGGTTCAAAAAATAAATTTTAATAATTTTTTTGTGGTAAAAACGTTGGAAGGGAAAAGGCTAACATCTTATATGCAATTTTAAATATTTTTATATCATTCTACTCAGAATTAAATTTCCTATCCAATTATGCTTAGATGTATTTTTTTACGTTTCCGGTTCAAAAAATAACATTTTTGTCGCGAAAACGTTCGAAGGGAAAAGGCTAACATCTTAAGTTTAATTTTTTAAATTTTTATATCATTGAACTCAGAATTAAATTTCCTATCTAAATATGCTTTGATGTATTTTTTTACGATATCGGTTCAAAAAATAAATTTTAAAAATTTTTTTGTGGTAAAAACGTTGGAAGGGAAAAGGCTAACATCTTATATGCAATTTTGAATATTTTTATATCATTCTACTCAGAATTAAATTTCCTATCCAATTATGCTTAGATGTATTTTTTTACGTTTCCGGTTCAAAAAATAACATTTTTGTCGCGAAAACGTTCGAAGGGAAAAGGCTAACATCTTAAGTTTAATTTTATAAATTTTTATATCATTTAACTCAGAATTAAATTTCCTATCTAAATATGCTTTGATGTAATTTTTTACGTTATCGGTTCAAAAAATAAATTTTAATAATTTTTTTGTGGTTGTGTAAAAACGTTGGAAGGAAAAGGCTAACATCTTATATGCAATTTTGAATATTTTTATATCATTCTACTCAGAATTAAATTTCCTATCCAATTATGCTTAGATGTATTTTTTTACGTTTCCGGTTCAAAAAATAACATTTTTGTCGCGAAAACGTTCGAAGGGAAAAGGCTTACATCTTAAGTTTAATTTTATAAATTTTTATATCATTGAACTCAGAATTGAATTTCCTATCTAAATATGCTTTGATGTATTTTTTTACGATATCGGTTCAAAAAATAAATTTTAAAAATTTTTCTGTGGTAAAAACGTTGGAAGGGAAAAGGCTAACATCTTATATGCAATTTTGAATATTTTTATATCATTCTACTCAGAATTAAATTTCCTATCCAATTATGCTTAGATGTATTTTTTTACGTTTCCGGTTCAAAAAATAACATTTTTGTCGCGAAAACGTTCGAAGGGAAAAGGCTAACATCTTAAGTTTAATTTTATAAATTTTTTTTTGAACCGATATCGTAAAAAAATACATCAAAGCATATTTAGATAGGAAATTTAATTCTGAGTTCAATGATATAAAAATTTATAAAATTAAACTTAAGATGTTAGCCTTTTCCCTTCGAACGTTTTCGCGACAAAAATGTTATTTTTTGAACCGGAAACGTAAAAAAATACATCTAAGCATAATTGGATAGGAAATTTAATTCTGAGTAGAATGATATAAAAATATTCAAAATTGCATATATGATGTTAGCCTTTTCCCTTCCAACGTTTTTACCACAAAAAAATTTTTAAAATTTATTTTTTGAACCGATATATAAAAATCAGTTTGATAAAAATTTATTCTGATTCAAAAAGACATATTTAAGAATTAGGAAATTTAATTCTGAGTATAATGATATAAAAATATTCAAAATTGCATATAAGATGTTAGCCTTTTCCCTAATCCAGTACTCACAATATCGTTATACTTACTATCAATTTAGTTTTGAAAAAAAACTTAAATAGAATATACATATAATTTTAAAAATTCCATTATTTTAAAATAACCAAATATAATTTAATTAAATAAATTAAAAATTAATGAAATTAAATAAAATTATAATCGCAATTTATTTCAAAGAATTAATAAAAAAATTGAAATATTATAATCCATTTTTTTAAAATAACCAAATATAATTTAATTAAAAATAAAAATTAAATAAAAATAAAAATAAAACCGCAATTTATTTCAAAGAATTAATAAAAAAATTGAAAAGATCTTAAAATTTCTATTTTTTTAATATATTATATTCCATTTTTTTTAAATAAATAAATATAATTTAATTAAAAATATAAATTAAAAATTAATAAAATTAAATAAAATTAAAACCGCAATTTATTTCAAAGAATTAATAAAAAAATTGAAAAGATCTTAAAATTTCCATTTTTTTAATATATTATAATGTAATATTATTAAAATATTTTTCTCGTAAAAAAAGCAATAAATCAATCAAATTACACATTAATCATTTTCTTTGTTATTTTTATTTTCAATATTATTTTTTAGCCTTTCGTATCATGCAGCCTTTCGACTTTTAGACCTTGCGCAAAGAAAATGATTAATGAGATATTTGATTTTTTTAGAGAAAAAATATTATAATAACATTATAATATATTAAAAATATGGAAATTTTAAGATCTTTTCAATTTTTTTATTAATTCTTTGAAATAATTTGCGGTTTTTAAAAATTAATTTTATTATATTAATTTATTTTTTAATTAAATTAATATTTGGTTATGATTTTATATATTAAGTAAGTATAAATATATTGTAAGAAGTAAATGAAAAACATAAATTTTTTAAGGTATTTTTAATTTGAGAAAGCATTTAAGAGGGGAAAGGCTAACATCTTAAACGTAATTTTGAATATAATTATATCATTAAACTCAGAATTTAACCGCTTAGATGTATTTTTTTACGTTTCCGGTTCACAAAATAAATTTTTTGTCGCGAAAGACATTTATAGGGGAAAGGCTAACATTTTAAAAGTAATTTTGAATATATTTATATCATTGAACTCAGAATTTAATTCTCTATCCAAAACCGCTTAGATGTATTTTTTTACGTTTCCGGTTCATATTATATGCTTACTATATATATGCAATATTTAGCCTTATTCTATTCATTTTTTAATAACTAAGTGCAAGAGATACATAATCTGTCGACTCCCATGATTTTTAACTTAACCTGCTTAGACCTCTTTAGGCAAATATCCACCAACATGATGAATTTCTTCTGCAATTTGAGAAATCACCTAGTAAGAGATTTTTTTTAATCTAGAAGATAATATTTTTAAAATCCTATCTTTTTGTTTATTAATTTTTTAAAATTCTTTAAATTTTCTAAATTTTTGATTTCTATCCGAATTAAATTGTTTTATTAATTATAATCTGTAAATTTTCTCGATTTTTAGTCATAAAATATTTAAATTACAAATATTTTCTGTTTCCGCTCTTAGCCACGTGAAGGCAACCATCATTGAGTGCTTTTGGTCTTAACACAAATATCCCCTTTGTGATAAATTTATTTCTCTTTTTGATAATCGTATATGCGATTATTGAAATTCCTTCTCAATTATTCTGTAAAATTTTTTGAAAATCCTTTTAAATATTTGTTTATTATAATTTTTTAGCTTTTCTAAATTGTTGATGATATTTTTTATTTACTTCCTTACAAAATACCGACATAAAAATTCATTCATAAGAAAGAAAGAAAGAAAGATTAATTATTATCCCTCTGAAAAAAATGTTTTTTTATTTAATTCCTACAATAAAAACTATAAATTTAAAAACAAAAAAATATAAAAACAAATAAAATAATTTCGACTCCATTTTCCATCTTCTAATATTCCATAACTGGCTCACCTAAAAATTTACTATTCCTATAAATTTGAAAACAAATAAAATAATTTCAACTCCATTTTCCTTCTTCTACTATTCCATAACTGGCTCACCTAAAAATTTACTATTCCTATAAATTAATATGGAAAACATCAAAATATTAATTAATAGGTAAGATTAATTTTATATATAATAAATATTTATTACTATTTTTGATAAAAATATGTTATATAAATATGATAATGGTCGATATACCTATAAGCTTAGAAAGATTAATTTTTCAAGGGGATGAGGGGGGGGGGGGGTTGTTCAGAAAAATAGAATTCCTGAATAGGGAGCCGGGGTTAGTGTTATAATAGGGTATATTCTTTTTAAATAATAATTTTTTTTCTTAAACTCAATTTTTTTAAATGGATTTAGGTCGATTTTTAAAAATTACCCGATTAATATTTTATCCAAATAATATTATGTAAGCCTTGAGATTGGGTAAATATATACTCTTTCTACCACTTATGATTAACTCCAGGTTTATGGGTTTTTAAAATTTTCATCATTTCTTTAAGATTAAGTAGATGTCCAACAAAGGATAATGCCAATGCTATACTAACTAAATTATCGGCTTATGGAGAGTCTCTACCCCATCATTTCCCCGAATTTACTGGCACACTAGATACAACAGCTGAAGAGATCTTAAGATTGACACAAGCTCAGATACTTACGCGGTATAATCCTTTGAAGGTAATATTTTATAATTTGTATGACAAGGCGCGCGCAGGAAGTTAGTCTGGGGGAGAGGGGATAATAAAAGTTTTTAAGAAATATTATTGTTAATTAAAAAAAATAAACATAAATTTATTAGGACTAATAACTTTTCTAATACACAATTTTAAATTAATATGAATTACAAAAAAATTATATATATAAACCGGCATTGAAAAACTATAAAATAAATGTGAATTATAAAATATAAAGTGAATATAATCACGATATGAATCACTTAAATGACCCAAAATTGAAATTTGAATTTTTTGAGCCTTTAAAATTTATAAAGTATAAAAAATTTAAATGTTAGAAATATAAATTAATACACAAATAGTTTCTTAGGAATAATTGTATTTTGTATGTTTTGAGCTAATTTTTCAATTATCTATCCTTGCTTGGTGTTAAATGCCTATGAATATTCAAAAGATCCAAATCATTCAATCTACTTTCAGTGTATTTCATAGGCATGTTTTTCAGAGACTTGCAGGCCCGGCCTTTAATTTTTTAAACATACCCGGGCCGGGTCCAAAATTTTTTTTAAAAAAACACCCTGGCTGGGCCTGAAAATTTTTTCAAATTCGGGCCTAAAACCAAATATTTTAAATCGCCATTATTAGCTATTAAAATCAAAAATAAATATAATTTATTGTTTATATATTATATTACTCATGTTATTATAAATTTTATTTATAAAAGGTTGATTCTGATGTTATTTGTGCATATAGAGCTGTGTCGTTGGGTATTTTTGGAGACGAAAAGTATCATCTATATATCAGACTTATGGCCAGAATAGAAATGATTCTTTTTAGATATATATACGACACCAAAGACCCGAAGTATGAAATGATTATTAGTAATTATATTATTATAAGTAGTTATCAAAATTTATTAAGTGATATTTTAAGAGTAGGAGGTTGGGCCGAGTCAATGCATTTATACGCTATAAGTGCTGCAATTTCCGATTTGTACTTTTTATCCTCCTGTAAATGGCAATGTTTTAATGGAAAACCCATATACAATGAAAATATATGGGCGTGGTGTTAGAAAACAAACACCATGTAAATTAATATTAATCTAGTTGCTCTAAACATTATAAATTAAATGATACATTTAATCATTTTGCTCTGTTAAAGCCAATTTCATCGGCCCAACCGCCTTTTAATGATCTAGAGAATAAGAGAGTTAATATTTACAATGATATAGATAATTATTCCTTTATTTACAATGATATAGATAATTATTCCTTTATTTACAATGATATAGATAATTATTCCTTTATTTACAATGATATAGATAATTATTCCTTTATTATAGATAAGTCCACTCATAATATATCTTGTGAAATAATAGCTGATAATTTGGGCAATTTTTTAGATTCAACAATTTCTTTACCAATAAATGATATAAAAAATGTTTCTTTTGTTATAGATGAAAATATTAATGGTATGTCTTGTGTAGATAATAATTTTAGCAATTATGATTTAGATTCAACAATTTCTTTACCCATCAATGATATACAAAATGTTTCTGAGTCGACTCATAATATATCTTGTGAAATAATTGATGATAATTTGGGCAATTATGATTTAGATTCAACAATTTCTTTACCCATAAATGATATAAAAAATGTTTCTTTTGTTATTGATGAAAATATTAATAGTATGTCTTGTGTAGATAATAATTTTAGCAATTATGATTTCGATTCAACAATTTCTTTACCCATCAATGATATACAAAATGTTTCTGAGTCGACTCATAATATATCTTGTGAAATAATTGATGATAATTTGGGCAATTATGATTTAGATTCAACAATTTCTTTACCCATAAATGATAAAAAAATGTTTCTTTTGTTATTGTTGAAAATATTAATGGTAAGTCTTGTGTAGATAATAATTTTAACAATTATGATTTAGATTCAACAAATGCTTTACCCAAAAATAATATACAAAATGTTTCTGAGTCGACTCGTAATATATCTTGTGAAATAATTGATGATAATTTGGGCAATTATGATTTAGATTCAACAATTTCTTTACTCATAAATGATATAAAAAATGTTTCTTTTGTTACAGATGAAAATATTAATGGTACTGGAGATGAGTTTGATAATGATTTTTTTAATGAAAACTTAAGCGATAATTTTTTAAAAAATAAAAAAATAAATAATTATGACCTATCTATAGAAAAATTTTCGAATAACATTTTAAATTTAAATAAAGATCAAATAATATTTGATAATGAAAATTATGGTAAATTTTTAAATGTATTAGATGCAATAAATATTTTAAAGAATCCAAAAAATATTTTATCAAATATTCCTGGAGGTTGTAAAGATAATAAATTTTATTTAATCAATAAAAATAATAAATCTAATAAATTTTTTGATGATTGTGGGCCTTGGACTGGTTATAAATCTCCATTACTTAAATCTTATTATATTCTTGAAAAAAATCATACTATAGGACCTTTAATTTATAAGAATAATGAATTTTTTAAAGATACTAAATGCGAAAATAAACGAATTTTCATACCAAGCCCAGATGAAAATAAAATAGCAATTTTACGGATACTACAGTGTTTTAAAGGCTTCTAAAAATTTTAAAAGAAAAATAAGTTATATTTATCCAATGAAAGAATCATCTTAGTTTTTTATAATTGTTTTCTTGTCGAATATATAGGGACTTACCCAGGGCCTGCTAGTCATGGTAACTTAAAAAAATCAGATTTCTTATATTAGCACTCCAGTTAGTGTAATTGATAATATTAAAAATTCTATTAAAATGCTTAAATCTACTAGATTTATGTATAATGAATTAATAAGAAATAATGATATTTTTAATACACCAAGAAATATTAAACAAATTTACAAAATTAAAAATAAAATTAATTTATCCAATAAAATTTATCCTAATTGCTGATAATATTTTAGAAATTATTAATCAAATTCATACCCACCCATTTATCCAGGTAATTATACATGATAAAGATAGAGTTCCTTCTTTAATATTATACACTTCTTTTATGATTAAAAATTTAAAATTCATGTGCTTATTTGATAATCAGTGCATTATAGGTATTGATAAAACTTTTAATCTTGGCGATCTTTATGTTACATCTTTAGTTTTTAAGCATAAATGTGTCAGAAGAGCTAAAACTGGGGATTTTCCTATATTTTTAGGCCCAATTTTTTTACATGCTGATTCGGATACCACTACCTTTTTTAAATTTTTTTCTGAATTAAAATCCGTTTTTTTAAAAAATAAATATTAATAATTTAATATTCGGCTCTGATGAAGAATTATCTTTAATTAAAAGTTTAAAGCAAGTTTTTGAAAAATCTACCTATTTATTATGTTCTCAGCATCTTAAAAAGAATATTAAATTGTTTTTACAAAATAAGCAAGGTGTGAATGCAACCAAGATTTCGTGAACCGGAAACGTAAAAAAATACATCTAAGCGGTTTTGGATAGAGAATTAAATTCTGAGTTCAATGATATAAATATTTTCAAAATTACTCTTAAAATGTTAGCCTTTCCCCGTTAAAAGTCTTTCGCGACAAAAAATTTATTTCGTGAACCTGAAACGTAAAAAAATACATCTAAGCGGTTTTGGATAGAGAATTAAATTCTGAGTTCAATGATATAAAATATTACAAAATTACTCTTAAAATGTTAGCCTTTCCCCGTTAAATGTCTTTCGCAACAAAAAATTTATTTCGTGAACCGGAAACGTAAAAAAATACATCTAAGCGGTTAAATTCGGAGTTTAATGATATAATTATATTCAAAATTACGTTTAAGATGTTAGCCTTTCCCCTCTTAGATGCTTTCTCAAATTAAAAATACCTTAAAAAAATTTATGTTTCTCATTTACTTCTTTATCAAGTAATTACAATATATTTATACTTACTTAATATATAAAATCATAACCAAATATTAATTTAATTAAAAAATATTAATTTAAAAATTAATATAATAAAATTATTTTTAAAACCGCAAATTATTTCAAAGAATTAATAAAAAAATTGAAAAGATCTTAAAATTTCCATATTTTTTATATATTATTGTAATGTTATTAATAATATTTTTTCTCTAAAAAAGCAATAAATCAATCAAATATCTCATTAAACATTTTCTTTGTTATTTTTATTTTGAATATTATTTTTTAGCCTTTCGTATTACCAAGCCTTTCGACTTAACCTTGCGAGCCTTTCGACTTATTGACCTACCCAAAAAATAGATAATTTTAAAAAAATTATAAAAGATTTCACCTAAAAGATTGTTTATTTATCTAATAAAATTTACAATATAATTCCTCAATAAAAGATGTATTTACAAAGAAGATTGTGAAAAAGAAAATTATTAATAAATTATATTAAAAAGAATATTACATTTTTACAATATAGCAGGCAGGGGTTCGAACCGCAAAACCGGAATGAACCGTTATGATTTTCTGAACCGTAACCTTAACCGAACCGTTATGAAGAAAATATTAAAAGAGCGAACCGAACCGTTATAAATATTTTGAACCGGTTTAAACCGGTTCAAAACGGTTTTAAAAATAATTAATTTTAAATTATTAACCTAAATTTAAAATTTTAATTTTCCTTGGGGGCATTTTTTAAATTGGTGATTTCTTTTCAAATTAAATATTTATATATTATCAACATTATATATCAAATTAAATATTTTTATATTATCAACATTATATATCAAATAATACCAGGTTTGTTGTTTTTTCTTTAAATACTTAATTTATAAGAGATTAGACAATTTATCTGTTAATTAGATAAGATAAGATAAGATATCTTAAAATCAGACATAATTATTCTTGGCTAAATTAACAAATTTATATATAAGATATTAATAAGCTTTTAGAATAATACCTGCTAATAATTAGGAAAAAATTATACAATTCTATTATTAATAAATAACATCTAATAGAAATCAAGTACCTTTTACATTCATTTTTATATCATATGGTTTATTTTTTATCTCATTATAAAAACTTGGATCATAGAATTTAAATGACAATAAATAAAATAGTCAGCAATATTTTAATGATATAATAATTATTTATTTATAATCATTGTTTTTTTAAATTCAGCATTCGAATATTATAAAATCTAAATAATCAGAATATTGAAATTCTAAATACTATGCCTACGTTTTCGTATTCGAAGGATAATTTAGATGATCATTTTGAAGATTTATTAAAGTCGCATGAAAGTCTTAATAAGAATAATTCTCAGGGCATCGAAAATTATAATAAATGTATAGAAATAGAATATATAATTCGGTCATTTGATAATATAGAGAGAGATTAGAAAAAGATACTAATCTTTTGAATTATTGGGAAAATGTAAAGAATAGTATGCCAGAACTTTATAAGTTAGCTATAACTGTGTTAGCAGTTCCAGCTACGCAGGTCTCCGTAGAAAGAGCATTTTCAAGCCTTAAGTTTATACTCTCTGCGCAGAGAACTAAATTAAATCCTGAAATATTAGAAAATATTTTAGTTATCCGTTCGAATTCTGTTTTTAAACCTAAATAGTATAGTATACATATTATTTTATTGATTATTGTATTTACGCATGTTTGTTTTTATCTTATTTATTTATGAAATAAAAAAAAACTAATTTGTCTAATTTATATTTCCTAAATTTAATAAAAATATCTATTTGATTATCATGGATAAATTAAATAAGAAATTATAAACTAAAAAGATTTTTCTCTAAAATTAATATATACATGGTTAATGATTAATTTTTTTTAAATTAAATTTATAAAAACCGGAACAAACCGAAAAGAACCGTTATAAATTATAAACCGAACCGAACCGATATGTTTTTTTTTAAAACCGAAATGGAACAAAACCTTTATAAAATTTTAAACTAAAAACCGGAACGAACCGAACCGTTATACTAAACGGTTCGAAACCCTGATAATAATATTAATAAAAAATATTAAATCATATCATGTTTATTTGTAGATAATAATAAAATATTTACATTAAATATAAATAAAATAAATTATTTTACTAAAATAAATAAATAATAATTAATGCTAAGCATCGATGCAGAATTTTGACTAATTTAATTTTAGCCGATTTATAGGCTTAGTTAGACAATTTTTAGGCTTAGGCGTAGTTTTTAGCCGATTACGCAACACTAAAAGGAATGACAAAAATAAATAAAAATTTAAGAAAAATTACGATTTTCCTTTTTTGAATGGGAATTTTCCCTTCCTTTTGGGAATTTTCCCTTCCTTTTGGGAATTTTCCTTTTTAGATTGACTTTTTTCCTTTTTTGATTGACACTTTTCCTTTCCTTTTGGGAATTTTCCTTTTTCGATTGACATTTTTCCTTTTTTAATTGACCTTTTCCTTTTTTTTGACACTTTTCCTTTTTTGATCGGACTATTTCCTTTCTTTTTGGGAATTTTCCTTTTTTGATTGACACTTTTCCTTTTTTGATTGAACCTTCTCCTTTTATAATTGAAACATTTCCTTTTTTAATTGGGACTTTTCCTTTTTTGAATGGGAAACCCTGTATTTATATATTATAGATTAGCATATGCATGGATGTTGACATTTCTCATCATCCATCATCTAATTTCGAACATTGCCATGGCCCAAATATAAATAATACGAACTGATTCTATCACCAAATGTATGTCCAAAAAGTATATTAGTTTCAAAATCATCAAATTCTAATTTAAAGAGACTTTATTTGATTGCAATGTTAGTTATTTTATATACATGTTGAACGAACGTGAATGCGCTTCTTTATTTGTAGGTGAATGTTGAACACATGCGTTTGATTTAGAAATTTAACTCCAATATTATGTACATTTATATCCTTCCAAAAAATTATCTTATCTAATTGGGCGCGAATATAAATTTTCCATGATTAATAAAAATTAATTTTTAAATTATAAAATAGATTTAATTATTCTCACTTAACCAAATTGTAATTATATTTTAATTTCATGCCATTTTCATTGAGTTACATAATTTTACTCAAAAAGAATCGGAAATCAAAAATAAGTGTCTTGTAATATTTGTATAAAATTTTCCTACATATCCATAAATAAAGGGGAGATGTTTTTTTTATATTAAATAAAATATCATTTTCATTGTACCTGTGGAATTTGCAATATAAATAAATTTTGCAAATTTTCAGAAAATGTCACAAAATATCCAAAAAAAAAACTTTAAAAAAATATAGGAGTGTTTCTTATAAAAAAAAAGATTTATCATACAGTCATTGTATAGATTTAATTTTACTTTTATTCAAAATAATTAATGGTTTTAAATTTCTAACTGACGTAGAAAAATCAATATATTTAAAACCACATTACAAATGCCAAACGATTTAAAATCGAGGATCTCTCATTTTAAATTTTATAATTTATCTCCGCATAACCACATAATTTAGGGAATTCTTGGATGGGTATACTGATTTTGATCAAACCTTCGTTCTTTCTATAGCAAAAGTTGTTAGAATTTGGACTTGATCAAAATTTGATAACAGTGATTATTTGGGCTTGATCAAAATTTTGTCTTTCGTGACTTGGAGGGTAGGTATAAAGTTTTTAGCATCGCCTGTTAATTATTTTCCTAGATTATATTCAAAACCCCAGAAGTTGTTTATTTGCAGAAGAACTGATTTTAACAATTCAATCCTATTTTCTACTTTTATCCACTACGGTAATTCCAACGCCGAAATTTTTCGCCTATAGAATGTTTATTTACTATAGGGACTTCTTACATAATCATTTAGTCAATATCTCTGGTTTTATTCGTCCTTCACGCCGTTATAGAATTGCAAATGTCCAATGTAAGAATGGCTTCCCTTATTTATAATATTGAACGATTCGCCATCAATGAATATTTTTGGCTTCTTTCAACTAAAAATTTTAACGCCCAGGCAATAGCTAAAATTATATTATCATTAGAAAAGTTTGCAGGGCCCAGCAATTTTTGCTAGACTCTTAAGAAGAATTTTGTCCAACCCGAACTTCGGTCTGGACTAAGACCATGCAGATCTCAAATCCCATGAAATATCATTTAAACGTGGTAAAAACAATCCGATTATGACGGGTAAAAAACTATGGCTCGGAAAGTAAATGAAGCTTAAAAATTGATTGAGGATTTTTTACATAAATACTGTTTTCGCTATTGTGCCTCTCATCACCTGAATAATTTTATAAAATATCTGAACAAAGTAGTTGAGTGTGGACGGTACAATCAGAATAATAAACTTGTTCAGAGGATTATACATTGTATGTAAAAATGGATATACTTTAAATTATGTTTCAATTATTCAGATTAATTTTTTATATAAATTTTTATTTTACAAAAAATATTTTAATTAAATTTATAATTGTTACTAATAAATAAATAAATAATACTTTATTTTATTAATATCATGCCATCCCTTCAATACATGACCTTGGTTTGGGATAAAGCTAAGACTTTTAGGCTAAATGGTAATCCGGTTTTGTGCCATCAAATTATATTAAGAACATAACACGATTACTAATATTTCCATAAATTTAATCAGTATGAAATATAATATCTTTGTTTCTTTTTTCATTTCGTTATCATAAAAATTTAGAATATATGATTCGTCCAAAAATTAAAGTATGACAATTTATATTTTTAAATTGAAATTTGACAAAATTAAAATAATTACTTAAATATATTAAATTACCTTTCTTTGATATCTTAAATTAAGTTTATGTATATAAAAGTAAAATTTTAGTTAATAAGTTTAAAATGCTATAAGAATATTCTATTTTTTATAAAATAATATATAATGAATATCAAACTAGATAAAGTGGTCTTATTTTATTCGGTCATTTATTTTTCTGGTTTTTTTCTTGGAATTATCATATGCGTATTTATAATCAAGATATTGATAAAGATGAAAGTATTATCTTACTCTAAAGAATTGGAGACTATACGTGTTATAACCAAAAAGAAGAAAAGGGTATCTTCTCATCATGCTACGCAAAGAAGGCACAATAGTAAATTACTCTAAATGAGTGATATAATAAATAAATGTTTTACAAGGTTCTAGTGAATTAAAAGACCAGGAGGTTGCAAAAATTGCAAGCGATGGCTAATTCGATAAGCTATGGTAGATAATTTACGTGAATGCATAAGTGTTTGTCACACTAAAACACCGCGATCGCCATTTATTCCTGTCTAATGCTCCAGCCCTATCAAATTCAACTTTTTAAGGATTCTTTCTCTCCTTCTCTTACAACCTTCCACTACCAAAAAAGATTATTATCTAGAAATAAAGTTTCAAAAACAAAAAGATTGTGAGTATTATTAACTTTGATAATATAGATAATTAAATTGGATTAAAATGTCCCATTTCGGAGATCGCTAGTTCATCTCGGTTATAAAGTTCAAACATTATTTTTTTTTGTTTAGGATGTTTAACCAATAAACATAATTTAATTGGAAAATGTGAAGGGAGGGATATCTGGATTTTATGTTAATCGCCTAATTATAAAAAAAAATTTGAACTTATTTTTGATTTATTGTTTTCATAAATAGAAAATATAATGAAGCGGTTCAAAGTGGAATCAAATCAATATCACCGAAGGGGATAATATTTGACATATCACGGTCGGTGCTAAGGATAATGAGGTAAGTTTTTCTTGTCCATCATTTAATTTGATTTTGATTTAAGCCGTAAGTAATCGCTCACAAGAGTATAAACTATAATGAATAGCAATATTTGTAATTTCTTTTGGACATATTCGTGGAATATTTTCTAGGAAATTGCATTTATTAAAAATTGTTTTACCACTCTGAATTCATTCTTAGGATTTTCAGCTTCATACGATTAATTAATACTAAAATTTGCTTTTATTTATAATATAAATATGCTTATATTCTCATCAGAATATCGTTTAAATTTTAAAATTATAAAATCCAAAATTCGACTACCATATTATATTTATTTTGAAAAAATAAGTTATATCTCACAAGCAAATATAAAATTTGATATCGCAATTAATCTATGGTTTAAAAAATTAAATTGCAAAATGTATAATTAAGTACAGTGAAATCTCGTTATAGTTGATCTCCAAGGGGAGGTGAAATTTAGTTAAATATCAAGAAATTTATTCCTTATATCCAACATAGAACTTTATTAACATTTATATAGCGAGAAATGTTCATTTGATTATTTTTTATATAAATCAATCACAAATAACTTAAATTAATAGGCTATAAGAGTTATTTTAAAAATGTTACAAAAATTACTTTAAAATATTTAAAAATGTAACGTCCTTATTTTTTTCATTACTTATTGAAAAAATTAACTTGGTTATCTTACCCATTTTCTTTCTGAAAAAATGCGTTACTATTTTTCAAAAAAGTAACGTAATGAATTACTTTCAAAATAAAATTCTAAAATAAATATAACTGTTTATTTTTTAAGATTTTAACTTTAAAAAAAGGCTATATACCTATAATTGAAAAATTTTGTCATTAATAAAATATATTAAAATACATTTTCTAAATTTAGTTTCAACAATAATGAGTTTTAAAAAATTTATAAGAAAAACATGAAAGTTATCATTCATCAAAGCTGTTATGCTACAACGGATTCAACTGTTGCCGATAATCATAATTTATAAATTTTGGCAATTCCATAATAAAAGCTGGTCCGCCTTTTTATAGTGGAACAAGCATCATTTAGCCGCCCTCAAAGTATATGGAGATTTGATCCTCATCCCTCCCTTTTGGCGGGTCTTCTCCTGCTTTTGCTCGCCCATAGGTCTGGTTTATATTTATGCTTTATATCATCTAGTATTTAATTATAATTATATATAAATAAATGCATTTAGTTGAAAAACAATTTATGGATTGTTTATACTATGCATAAATTTCGAATCTGACTAAAATGAATCTGATTTCTGGACTGAAATGAATCTTTTTTAAATATTAAGTACCTTTTTAAGTATTTAAATTTTTTTTCACAATTAACTAATTTACCAAGTCTTTCTTTCCTTTAATTAATATTTTCTTTCATATCTCATTTATATATAGGCTAAAAATTGGCTCAATCAGCAGATATGTGCGGAAGAAAATCCTTTAATTATTGAGGCGTAGACTAATTTAATTTTACTTTCTTCAAAATTGAGCTATATTTTTAAGAAACCTTATAAATAGCTTTTTTGATAGATATAGTAGTTTTAGAGCCATTACCCAATTATAGTCCTCTGCAATATAAAATATTTATGTAATTAGTTAATTTAATGAAATTTGGCAACCTATACAAAGTTTAGCATAACATTAAAAAAATTTTATTTTCACTATATATAAAAAGATAATTATATCACAATTTAATGAATATATCACATAAAATATTTAATATTACTTTTTTCTTAATCTAATTCTTGCAAAATTTCCAATTACTCAATTTATCTTGAGTTATGGTAGAACACAAATAATTTTAATTTGCTTCAACCTTGAGAAGCTTCTCTCGGCATTCGCAAAGTGATATTTTTAGTCATTAAAATTTTTAAGGCAGTGGATAAATTTAGAAATTAATAAAATTAATCATAATCGATATTCATCAAAACAATCTTTATTTTGGTCATTCTCAATATAGTATGCTGAGTTTTTCTTTGTATTTTATTTTGAACTAAGACCCCCTTCTATTTTTTACTTTATAAATAATTTTTAAATTAAAAATATATCTCTCTTTTGGTCATTTTCTCCTAGTTTTATCCATGGCCAATTTAAACATAGGTTGAATATTGCAACTAAGATATATTCATCCTTATAGATGTGTTGGAACTATTAGAAATAATAAAAATTTATATATTAAACTATACCTCAAAACTATTGAGATATTTTTAAATGATATCGGGAAATTACACCCCCCCCCTCATAAATACCCCCTTTCCTTGGGCATTGATATTGTATTTCTTGGGTGTGTGGTCATGTTTCTCTATTAAGGTCGTTAATTTTCCTTATATGGGTTTAGTCTAGGGTTCCTTTTTACCATGTTCGGTAGCGCCAGCAACGATTGTCTTCTTAAATTTTTATCGATTAGCGCAGTTCATGTGTCAAAATGGTTTGCTCATCTTTCTAGGAGATTGGGGTTTGTTGGTCCGGAGTTCTATTGCATCTTGTTTTGGTACGGGGCAATGAATTTAGTATTCTGTCTAGTGTTTGTCGGTTAAGACACTAAAACCGAAATTTTTGCTGCCGATCCACCAAAGTACACACACCAAAACACCGTGATTCAAACTAGATCAACATATTTTTAAAATATGCCATTCCATTTTAAGAATGCTATATGAAAAGGAGGATTAAAATATTTTTAATGAGTATAAAATACTTTTTAATTAAAAACTGGTGAGAAAGCTTTTACTTTCAGCAACACCCCTGGTTAAATAGTATTACAAGAATCTAATTAAACTATATAGCCAAGAAATATGTAGACTTTCAAAGCAAAATTTAATCCCATTTATTTTTATTATATGAATAGAACATATTAGAAAATAAAATAAATTATATAATTAAAACATCTGGTAAAATATTCACGATATATTATAATCATCTCCCAACTTTGCCCAAACTCTGATCCGTTTTAGGGTCGGCAGTTACATTTTGCGATATTACAATTGCTTCGTTAATTTGAGTCTGTAAAGCCCGTAAATCTTGTATACATAATAAACGTAAGATCTTGGAAGCATTTCTTATTTTTGGATCTAAATTTGTGGGAAAATAATTTTTAAAGTCATCATTCAATAAGTATTTAAAAATAGTATTTATTATTTGGGAAGGCATTAATATAAACTCATGGTCAAAGTAACGTTATACATGGAAAATCGTAAGAAGCTGGATTGCGAAATGATATAGAAAAAATTGATATTAATGTCCACTAAGAATTTTTTTATAAGAATGAATGTATAATAAATTGTTGAAAGTTAAATTTTTTGCTATTGTAATACCAGATTTTTCCAATAAAATAATACCTTAGATATAAACCCATTTTTTCAAAAAATCTTGATAGTACATTGAGAAAAAGGTAGAATTTTTTTAGCCCATATACCAGAAGTAGTGAATTATTTTTTTCTAATCAGGATATTAAAGATCGGTGCGAGGTTTTTCAGCCAGCTCATAAATTTTTTTGCCATAAAATAATTTTGTGCATATTGTCCGGCCTGGCACATAATAATTTTATCTGACCAATAATAAGTTAAATAAAATTGAAAAAAAGACAATACCTTAAATTGAGCATTATGATTTTGAAAAAAAGACTCAGTGTTGAAAGATTGGGGTTGTCAGGTGTTCCTTTAATAGTAGTTGTCGTAAAAAAAACTTATATGATATAAGATATGGTCAAAAAGTATATAGCCAAATATTTTATATAAGGTTAGTTTATTAATATTTTATGCAACACAGGAAAAATGGATATAATTAAAGGATAATATTTTTTTTTATTTTGATTTAAAAACGATTACAATTTACAATAAAAGATATAAGCTATAAAAATAAAATATATATATTATTTATTTTATAAAAAAAGGTAATAAAATAATGTAATGTATTAAAAAATGAACATGAGGAGGTGCATCTAGGTTATGGCACCGTGGATTTATATACTATAAGACCTACAAATATTCATAATTCGTTGACGGAGGTGAGGATCACCCAAAATTAAGTGCATTTTTTGGCCGAGTCCTTGAAAAAAATCCTTTGCTCTGGGTTCAAAAGCACCGATTGTGTCAGAAACATTGGGGGTTAGAGTAATATTAGGAATTTTAATGTATTTATTAATTTTTCTAATTTATACTCTAATGTTAGAGCTAAAGGATGGTGCGAACCTATCAACACATGTATAATCCCAGGCTATCGGGATTCCCCTGCTCCATGGAATAAGTGTCATCAAGCCTGATATTATCCCCGAGATTAAGACCTACAGGTTCCAAAGTTCATGAAATATTAGCTACGGAGAGTTCTAGCAATAATTAAATTTATTACTTGGTGGTGTAGATGGTGGCCTATAGAGAAACGGTAATGAAGAGGGTGATGACCTAGACTTTCGACAGGGAGCTGACATATTTTGCAAAGATGAGGGTTTGACGATATCACATCCTAAAGGAAGACCTATTCCTATCCGAAGTTCTTCGTTGGAAAGAAGCAAATCAAGGTTGGAGATAGGGATAGCCTCAAGCCATTCATAGCCTGTGTTGAAATGTTGAATTGATGATGGAGAATTTACTATTTATTGAGGGAAAGGAATCAATACTTTGATTTATTGGGGAGGGGATATTTGGGTTATAGATCGAGGAAATGCCCTTCAAGGCAGTGTTCGAGTAAAGGAATTCAACGGTATGCTGGTAAATCCCAATCTTGTTGTCTGGAGGATAAAGCCAAGGGAGCATTTGGGGCGTTTGACTTCCATAGGTCTAGTGCCAACCCCAGATGGGGATCTGTAGTGGTGGTAAAAATGTTAATTGTTTGATATTTGGTGTATGATGAGAAAAAATCTGCAATACTCAGTGAGGCAGGGAATTGAAAGCCTATGCCCCCAAATTTGCTAGGGAGAACGGCTTGCATCCAACTGGGCGAGAATTTGAGGTTGAGTATTGATTCAAGGGAGATTTTAATTTTAAGTTCCAAATCTAGTAATATGTCTGGGAATTGTGAATGGAGCCGAACGAAAGTCATGCAATATTTTTGGAATATAAAGGAAATTCTTTAGGAGAAAGAATGAATGATTAGATGGTAACAATCTTAGGATGTTCTGAAGTCGGGAAATAATCAGGAAGTCTTCAGTAAATTTGGATATTGCTGCTTTGTCTCCAATAGGTGAGCCTAGATGAGTAAAGCTTGATTTCTCGACTATAAAAAAGTTATCAGGAATGAGGTAAAAATTGTTATGCATATAAAATTCACATTTTTATGATTGAGGGAAAGCCCAGTTATTGGAGTGAGATCAGAAATAATAGATGGAATTTTAATTAATTCATCGTATGGACCAACAACTGTACCATCATCTAAATATGTTTAAAATGATATTGCATTTGTTGTTGATGTTGTCTATGATGGTGCGAATAGCTTCAAAGAATATAGCTGGGTCAAAGGGGCCCCCTTGCTGTATTCCTTGACAGGATTCCGTGGTTCATGAAATTTCAAGACACGTGACCATAACAAGCTGATATATAAGTTGAATAATCTGGGAATGTGTTACAGAAAGAAGGAATGAAATGCTCTCTCTTAAGGGAGTTGAATGCATTATTTAAATCTAATTTTAAAAAAAATGTTTGATTGGTGGAGCAGATGACGTGTGAAGAGTCTCACACCCTGCAGGACTACTAAATCCTAATTTATGAGGAAGTAAAATATTTGAAAGTTTTGCTTTTAATAGCCAACAAATGATTTTGGATATAATTCTTCGGAAGATAGCCCCAATAGCAATGGAGCGAATGTCTCCATCCTTTTTGGATAACGCAATAAGTCGAAACAAGGTTATTAAAAATGTTTTATTAATATATTTTAATATGCTACACTTCTACCTCATTTATATTTAAGGATTATCTCCATGTTTCTATTAATTTTTCCACTAGTATTTGCAGGTGGAATCTAACTATATACTTTTCGCCACAATCCCAGAGTGACCCCTATGTATCACTTTATCATGCAGCGACTGCGGAATTATCAAATGTCTATTATATAATATAATATTTGAATTCCATTCATTCCCAATAGCCTGCAAACAATTTCAAATCTACGAGCCTTTCACTGCTCACCATGCTCCATCGCAAGACGATATCTCAGGAGTTCTTGTGTTAACAAACGTTGATTCACGTGTATGCTCGATATTTCCACTGCTTGTGGCCTCGTTTTTGTGTTCTTACAGCACTCCGTCTATTATTAATAATTGATCGGTTAGGTTATTTCCTTAGTCAGTTCGATATAGAATCTGGTAATCATATCCAAGAGTTTCCATGCTCATCTAATTTTTTATTATTGGAAATTTTGCTCAGATCTCGCTCATATCCAAAGACATGCTCTATGGTTTAAGATCGCTATATTGCATTATAAAACGATGGTCGTGACAGCATGGTTGGCCACCTAAACCGGAAAACACTCAAATTTTTCTGTAGGAAAATATATTTTCGATAATATATATATTAAAAAAAATTCTCCGGGGAATTATCCTATGTCATGCATAGAGATTACCCGGAAATCGCGGCGATGGATTTCACATCACGAAGACTAGTGAAAAGATTAAGTTAACCGTTGTATAATCCAAAAAAGGAGGAAGAAGTATAAAAGAATTGGAATAATAGTTGAATTGAATATTTGTAGTCGGTTTTTATAGAAATTTCTTTCGTATACCAAAGTTTAAAATATTTGTAGAAGACAAATTAACATGTTTCAGTCTTATTTCTATCTCATTCTTTATTGTTTACTGTAAAACTAAGATATTTAAATTACTATTTAATACCCAACAAAGATAGGGATAGGTGTGAGTCTAGTGCTACCCATGGAGATGGCATAATGACTGTTTTATTAAAAATTGATGGCTAGTCGAATTTCGCCGCTATATGATTTTAGTATATCTACATTTAGTATATTAGTGAACTCCTCCACTGATTTTGCAATCATAATCATGACTATACCATCTGCGTAAGAAATAATGTGGTGTGTCAGGTTTAAGTTATCATTAGAGGATATATAGTAGGCTCAAGGCAACTAAGGTATCGATAATAATTATGTTGATAATATTAAATAAAATAGGTGACAGAACGCACCCCTGCTTCATATCTTTGCGTATAAAGAAGGGAGAATGAGTGAGACTAACCGGAATTTGGATGATAAATTTCCATTTTTATTTAAAATTTTTACATTTTTTCTATCTGTACACTATCTGAAGATTTTTCATAAGATATCGTGTTTGATACTATAAAATACTTTAATTAAGTTAGCAAAAGTGTGAAAGAATGGTAATTTTAATGCTAAAATTGGCTTCAGGATGTTCTTACCAGGTCTAAATGCACAAATATTATTCTAAAGTAAGTGCTTAGCTGAGTCCAATCATGTTTCCTTATTAATATTGTAGGGATTGGCTTGTAGAACCAGAATATACGATAGTGATTTTATTTTATAGTAGTTCTCAGAATAATGAAACGATGGTTACAATTTTGTAAAATAATATTTCTTAAAAATATAAGTCAAAAGTTAAATGTTATCAATATTATTGATCTTTAATAAGTAATTTTGTTTTTCTTGTTAATATGAAAGTAAAAACAAAAATCGCCTCAGAACAGTAAAAATATAAACATTTTTAATATAAATTCATATTATAAGAAAATATCGCCTCATAACAGTAAAAAATTAAACATTTTAAATATAAATTGAACATATTATATCACAACAAATACCATAAATACTTTCGAAAATACATTACACCGTCATAAAAAACAACCTCTCTTCACATTCTATAAAAGCAACTACATATTACAAATTGGCCTGATCTTTTTAAACATTCACCGATAGTTCTATGTCAATATCAACCATCAACATCTATGACCATAGAATTCTTAAAACTCATATAATGATCAAAAGCGATATATGGAAAGATAAGACTAGATGTACGGTTTTGAAAAACCCACCCAGATAGCCCAGCCTCAGATACAATTTTAATATTCTGAAACTCCCCCTGATTAAGGATCTTATTTCAATTAGGTTTTCATTAGATATAAACCAATCTGTTCTTAACAACCGAGATTCTTCTCTGGAAAAATTATGGGAGAATATTAAACATCAATAACTAAAGGTATTGTAAAGATAAAGACCAAGCTGAGGTTCGAGGTCTACCAATTAAGGAATAGATATCTTCTACAAAGTTTGGACTTATGTTTGCTAAATTTTGAGGCTTACATAATATTATTTTGCCTAAAATCTTAATTGGCCCTTTTTTTTAAATAGATCCAATCTGGTCGTTTAACAACACTATCTCCTATCATTGAAGCGAAAATTGTTGAACTAAGAGATGAGCCACCGAGATAAAGAGCTCCTTATTATAAGGAATGTTGAGAACCGATAGACATAAATTTATAGCTAATAGAGCTAAGGAAATTGGCGCATGCAAGAAATTAAAAATGTCTTGCAAACCTTATTACATAATTATTGTTCGTGTTACATTATTGGGTTTTATATTTCATTATTCAATTATTACAATAAGATGTATTTATATAACAAATTTTTTAAAAAAGGGGAAATAAGAATGAAAGATCTATATACTAATATTTTAATATGCTTTCAAGATCGTAAGTATATACTATTATAAGTTAAATTTTGATCTGTTATAATATTTTATTGCTTATGATTTGGTGAAAAAAAAATTAAGATTTTATATTATACAATTAATTTGAGGGTTTTACAAAATTAATAACTGTTATTAAGAAAATAAGTATTTTAAAACTGAGGATAAGAAGTTGTGGAAGACATGATTATTGTTTAATATTATTATGTAAAGGTGAGGTCGATGAGGTAGTATAATTCTTTTTGCCAAAATCTTTTACATGGTAAAAATAAGGGAAGGGAAGTTGAACTGAGTATTTATCACCATTCCATCTCACACTTCACCAGACAGAATTTAAAAAAAACTAAAATCTCCTCTATGACTAAAAAAATTAATATTTCAGTAGTGAATCCTGCAAAAAATAAATTTTAACAGTCAACTTAATATATGGCTCTTGGACCTTTTGGTTTGCTAAATCTTTAAAAAAAAATTTTTTTATATCAATAAAAAAATCAGAGCTATCTCATGTATTATTGGGCAAAACTGCGATAAAGATAATCATTAAAGAGGAATGAAAACAAATTAAAGCGAATCCGAATACAAATGAAGTCAATATCTGAACATGGGCTAACTATAGTATAATCATGAATATTCTAGGTCTGAGTTAGTCAATAATATATTTAACTAAAATATTTTATTTATAATAACAAAAGGTAAAATGCATAATGAAAAACAAACATCTATAATATTAATTATATAAATCTGCAATTGAATGAAATTGACACTGATTTGAGCTTAAATTTGACTAGTTATAAAATATCTCAATTATTAATACAAATGTGATATATTATGTAATGATAATAAATTATACATCTTTAGTATTTGTCGTTTAGCTACAAATTTAAATTATTTTCTGCCCATTAATTCAATGCCCTCCATTAAACTATTTTGAATGGAAGTCCACTTCTTTGTAATAAGGATTCCCATTTTTAAAGAATATCTTCTTACAAGACATGAATGTGAATTGTATTCGTAAATAATTAATATTAGTATTTTAGCCAAATAAGAAGAGAATCGTAGTCTATAAAGTTAATATTATGTATCCATGTATGTTAGAAATATCTGAGTTTTATCATTTATACTACATTATCTGATGCAATTTCATAAAATTGTATAAGCAATATTTAATTCGTCAATTAAATTTTTGAAATATTTATGACTCTATAAGGATAAAATTAAAATCGATAAATCTTAAATATCAAATTTTACCAATAATCAAAAAATAAAAACAAGTAGGAATATGGGTGAGGATTAAGAGTCAATAAAAAGTTTTTCGCCAAATTTTGATTTTATGATCTTCATTGTTTAATCTATTTATTTGCCATTTTCGTTTTTCAATCTTAATTCATTTTTCCATTTAAAAAAATTATGCGCGATATTTTTTAGGTCAAGGAAGGATGTTACGAAAGACAAATGACGCATGTCCATTAGAATTTTAAAAATCGTCGACCACTCTATAAGAATATAAGGATTCTTTCTTAACATTTAATTTAATATCATATCTGCATGATTAAAAGAAAAAATCAAAATCTATAAAAATGAGCCTTTTTATTACTCTTAAATAGATTTTTTTAAAACTCACTAGGACTGTGCTGATACACAAATTTTTCACCGATCCGATATTTCCCGATATTACTAAAAACCCGATCCGATATTTATATTAATTTTTGTTTACCATCCATCTTTGTATCAATGTCATAAATATATGAATATTTTCTACTAAAAAAACCAACTAACTTTTACGAATAATTAAGTGTATATTATATTTTATATTTTTCATAAGTTTATATTCTCATTTAAAATATTTGCAATGCTTATGGGTGAATGTAGTGTTATTAAAAAGCTACATTTAGACGATTAAAAAGGACCAATCTGCGGGAAAAATCAATAAGCATGGGTAATTTATCTGACTAAAATTTAATCGTTTTTTAAATTGACTAAATCGAGCAGTTTAGCAACACTAACTGAATATCACTAGTTAGATGTTTTAAAATCCTTTTCTTTTTGCAGATAATATAACAAAAAATAGTGTGAAATTTTAAACTAATTAAGCATTACAATAAATAAATTGTATATTAGTTTCTTTCATTAATTTATTATTATGAAATATATAAAATAAAAAAATTCCCAATATTATTATTATAAATTAATATTATATATCCCAATATTATCGTCGCTTTTTGTGCTTTAAAAATTTGAATTATTACTTTCGCGTTTGGATCCGCTTACCAACCTACTAACTCCCAAAGCTTCAGGCGCAGATCTATGGCAGCGGACAACGACGAAGCCCCGAACCGTTATGAAACATTGGTCACATCATGGCCTTACAGTCCGCATGGACGCGATGACCACGGTGGGACCGAGATAACGAGAAGATCAGTATCAATAGCCAGATCAATTATGGGCCCGGGCCCATAAACATGGCAGCAATCTTCGGATTAAAAATATCGGATCGGTTTTTGAAAACGCTAAATATCGGTGCCGATGTGATATTAAATATCGGCACCGTCCTATAACTCACTCACTTTCATGCTTTTGTCTGGATAAAAAAAAAGCCATATGTTAAAATTATAATTTCATCATCGATAAAATATGCATGTTAAAATTTAGGGTAAGATTAATAACCCAAGGTCCGCCAATATACTTCGATTTTTTAAAAAAATAATGTTTATTGTGTTAGTTAAAACAGAGCCTAGTATATGATAATAGGTAATAATTTTTTAATCGAAGACCAGATTGACGAGATGAAAGTTGAAACATTTTGATCCAAATCATGCCAAAAAAAATGGACTATATGATACCACGGTAAATAAAATATATATACCCACGGCTATATCTGTCCAAAGCTGATTTACCTTTTTTCGTAAGCAATAATGTATTAAGGATTCTTGAGAAATGTTCAATTAAAAGAGATTTTTTTAAATGGATAAAATATATTTTAAATTAAACAATTATCTGAAGTAAGGTGTCGGAATAAAGGTTAAAGAGATATGGGTTTAGGGTTAATTAGAGATAAATTATGGGTTAGGATTAATTAAGATATATTAAAAATGATTATTTAATAAAATTGCTCATTTTTCATTAACAACTTGACAAATCTGACAGGATTAAACGAATAGAAATTTGAATCAGCTGTTTTAACGGCATTTTCTTTGAGTTGGCCCATAATCGTATTTAGGTAAGTTTTTACGAAAAGTAAATGAGCTTTGGACTTACTTAGGGTAATATCTTTAAAAGTAATCGATGGAATTGTTTAATATATAGAAATAAGCTTTTAATATCTTACTTTCACACGAGAATCCCAAATCAATTTCATCAAGTGATAGTGTTTTGTTATCTTTGATGTTTGGTGGCTTCCCCACTTTTATCAATTTGGTTTTGTCTATAGAAAATGTTTCCAGAATAAATTTACATATAGCCTTTTAAATAAAAAATAATATTAAAGTTGTATTAATTTAAAAGAAAAGAATAAATGTATACCTCTAATGTTATCAAATGGTTTGGATGTTGAGGAATGTTCAAAATATTAGATAATTGGGCAACTCCATCCTTAAAATCGGTACTGTCAACTTTAATTATTTATTTAAAATAATAAAATTTTTATAACAAGTGTCAATGAAAAAATCTAATTAAGGTTATTGAAAAAGAGAAGTGATATATCATAGTAAAATGTCCATGATAAAGAAAAAAATTTATTTTATCATGGAATATTTATTTAATTTATGATAGCATTACTAAATATCAGCTGTGTAATTAGAAAGAGTTTCCCATAAGGTTTATTATTATTTTTAGATTTTTAACAATTGAATCAAACAAAATTAAAATCAAACTAGAATGTTATAAAATAAATGTTTCAGCTGAAACTTATGGCTAGATTTTTATTTTCGCTATAGGTTAGTGTCATATTTTGTAAATCAGTTGTATTTTCTCTAGCTATACTATTCGTTGAGGAAAAATATTATGTTTATGTATTTGCTTAACAATGATTGTGCTTAAAAGATAGTTAAATAGGTTGGGGTAACATCAATAAAATCATCGTGAGATTTTATTTTACATAGACAATGTTATCTAATACTTATATTGTGTAAATAAAATATTGCCTAAATTTAAAGCAAATGACATAAATATAGCATTATTAACTTATTTAACAATTGAAATTAATTAAACGCCCATTTTTAAAAATTAACTAAAACCCATATTTATACCTAACCATAATTCAAAAAAAATTTATATTATAATTCAACATAAAAAATTTCAATTTCCCTGCTTTTTTTCCGATCATGGGTTACTTTATTTGAATATTTACGTTGTGAAAATGTATTAGCAAATAATTAATTTTTTAAAAAGGTAAAATAAATAAAGGTAATGTAGAAATAGAATTTATGGGAAAGGATGGAGGATAAAAAAAGGGAGCTAGGAATATGGAAGGTTATTTAATGAAAGAGATAAAACATAGATAGTTAAAGCGAATAATGGCGGTAGCAAGTCTTTGGCGTAAGAGGGATTCCTTATAAAATTTTGATTTTCATCTGTAATTAAGGTAAGCTGTTTATTATTAAGGCTGAATTCAAAAAAAATTTTCAATACTTGCCACAACTATTGGTATCGTTAGTACAATTCGTAGGGCTATTTTCATGTATGGGTAAATTTCTTTTATTTTTCGATTGTAGATAAATTTTAGTAGATGGTCTGCTGTTTGGTTTAAAAGTCAAAGGCATATGGCTTTAGTTTCGATGTCCAGGCCTTATGCTGTATAACATCTAAATGTAATAATTCTAATTTGGTAAAATCAATATTAAAAGGACGCCCACTGAAATTTTCAAAAAAAATCGGATTTGTGGAATTAAGATTAATCTTCATTTACAAATCAAGTTTGGAGAAAATTTCGCTGTGTAATTTTCACTTGGCCCTTTTGAAAAATCTAAAATAATTGATATTAGCTTTTGACATAAATGTTTCTATCCAAATTTGTAGATTGCAACTATTTTCATATAGAATAAATTATATTTACTAAGTCATATCATAAAAATTATAACCGACAGATGAATTTATAATAATAAATATTTTTTACAGGTGTATATATCTGATTATGAAGGCCATATGAACCTTTAAAATTCATATCTTCCTTGATACATATTTATGCAATATATCATTAGAGTTGGTACTGAAATCGTTTAATCACATCAGTACATGAATCTATAGTTGGGCAATTACTATATTTTTTGACGTTTAAGCCAATTTTAGGCTGGCTAACCCACGTTTTTATAAAACTATCACTTAGCCTCGGGGGAGGGGGGGGGGGGTTATTTAATAAATATTGAAAGAAACTCATATAGATCACAATGTCGGTATGCTAATGGATTTCTGGCAAGCGCCTGTAGATTTAACTGACATTTAGCCATGAGTGTAACATTCTCTTCAATATAAAGAATGGCAATAACTTTTATAATTTAATTAGCGATTACATAAATTTTGGGGGAAATTAGGAAGAAATGCTTGAAATTCTCTAACTTTAATATTTATTAAAAGAATAATTATAAATTTCAAATTTTATAAAGTTTATGATGGCCTTCTATTTGCTATAATCAATTTCTTGAGCTGAAAGGCATTTTTTAATTTATTTTTACCAAATATAATTGCAATTAGACATTTTAAATTTGAATTAATTACAAAAAATCCAAAATTTTATTCTTTTTATTTATTAAAAAATAAGCATTTTCTTTGCTTCCCCAATGCTCATTAATTAAACATAAAATTACACAGTCATTTAAAATAATTTTCTGTTTATTTATTTTAAAAAAATAGGATTTTACATTTGATTCCTCTACTCTATGTTTATTTTTAATGCTGTGTTTAAAACATCAAAAAATTAAACTGTATTAAAAAACACAAAATAAGCCTCATTTTAATAGAAAAATAAAAATATGGCCAAAAAATATTTGTAAAATTATTTTCCAAAACTTTATCAAACTTCTTAAAAATGTTTCAGAATAAACATAAAAGTAATAAAAAATTACAATTGTAATGGGCATTTTTAAGGAAAGAATGAGTAAATAGTTTTATATAAATATATTATATGAAAATATGGAAAAAGCAAACGCTTCAATTTAGAAGCACTATTAGCAGGCACTTATGCAGAAATCGCATTAAGGGGGGAGGGGGTTAATTTTAAAAAAAAAGCAATTAGTTATTTAAGAATATAATAAAAAGTTTCAGTACATTAGGACTAGTGACTTAAAATATTGACAATTTCTAATTCATAAATTAAAACATAAAATGATAAAATATTACATGCATATATAAGTGACAGAATCACTATAAAATAAATGTCTAATTTTAAGTTTTTCGAATTTAATATAAATTTAAATTATATTTAAAAAAATTAAATGTTGGAAATATAGATTTATCCAAAAAAATATTCATAAGGATTATTGCATCTATATAAACCAGAGATCTGCAGGCCCAAGCCTAGGTACACAGGCTGGTTTTTAAATATACACTGGCTGGGCCTGAAAATTTTTTTTAAAAAAATATCTGGGCCAGGCTGTATATTTTAAAACCAAATATTTGAAATTGCTATTATTAACTGAAAAAAATCAAAAATAAATATAATATATTTTTTTAAAAATCTGGGCCAGGCCTTAAATTTTTTTTTAAAAAAACCCCTTGGGCTGGGCCAGGCCAAAAAATTTTTTTAGGCTGGGCTATGCAAATGGTACCACTGCAAGTCTCTGATATAAACTTCAAAGTATTCTTGAAAGAAATATAGTTTAATAAAAAAGGGGAAAAAATATAATTAAGTATTAATATTAATATTGTAAAATTCAATCTTCACTAGGATTGAGCAAATTTTTCAATGATTATTACTCTTTATGTATATTAAGAAGGACTAACCCACTAAATCTATTTTTATAGGTAGTACTTCTCATGTATGTTTTATTCCTAAAAAATATAATGTGTTTTCATTGATAGAAGTATACTAATGAGTAAAAGAGTTGCCAAAATATATAATTTTAATATATTAGGAAAATAATCCAAAATGTTTGAATTTATGTAAAACATCTTTAGAATTTTTGGAACATACCTATTGAACCATGATTTGCATTCAATGAATAAAGCGTCATGTGATATTTTAACATTCTCTCAGTAAAAATCTGCCAAATTATCAAGATATGAAACAGATTCAAAAGGATGCTGTAGTAATATTTGCAGATTTGTAAGTGCTGTTCATTCATTTGAGTAAGATAAACACCCAAGAGGGGGATAAAAGTTTCAATGATGGGGTTGCCTTGCTGCAATTCAAAGTAGAATGATATTAAATCTGTAGGGCTCTTCTTTTGACTTAACACTGACATATAATTTTTGAAATTCAACATTTACATTTGCCTTAAGCTTCAATATAATGTTTTTAACTATTCTCATAGTCTGAATCAAATTAATGTTATTTTTTTCAAATATATTACATAAAATATTTGTGTAATTAAATAATTTGCTATTGTAATTCTAATGTAAAAAAAATCGGTTGTGGTATTGTGTCCATTAATCTGGCTGTTTCTAAAAAAAATCCTTTTCAAACCATTCTATAACTTCACTAAGAAAATTTATAATAGACTCTTCTTTATAAAAGCTAGTGTTGTTAAACAGCTCGATTTGAGCCGATTTTTAAAAACAGCTAACTCAATATTTTAGCCAGAAAAATATTGTCTAAGCCTCGAGATTTTGTTAATAGATGTTCAAACCTTTGTGCCACCTATGAACAAAATCTTAAGGCTTGCATAATATTTTTCCTAATAAAAGATTGAGTTAGCCGTTTTTAAAAATCGGCTCAAAATGAGCCATTTAACAACACTAATAAAAGCTATTATTGCTTGATGGTGAAGGCTTCATATTGTTGTGCATTGTTGTAATATTTTTAAACATGTTGGACAAGGAGTTACAGATATAATTTAGTTTATCATATTTTGTCTTGATATTCACTCATTGCATGGGGTCCATCCAATCAATGGCTCCTTCATATCCTTATCAAGATGTCTAGGATTCTGATTTTCATCAATAATGGTTTAAAAAAAGGTACTTGTATCCATTCTTTAACTCTCAATACTCTTGTGTCAAATGAATAAATCTTCATTTTTTTATACTTTGATATAAGCTAAGACTAACCTTAAATGTTAATTTATTCTTTACTATGCTCAAATAAAAAATATTATTAGATAATAAAACAAGAAATTTTATAATTTATCTAAATAAAATGGAAATTGGAAGAAAAAAAATTCTATCTTAACTAAGATTAAATGAAAAATTATGAATTTACTCTAGTTGAGTTTCATAGATTCAAATCATCACAAAATGCTTATATCTTAAAAATTACTCAACCAAAATAAATAGAATTTGTAATATATATTCTAACATATTTGAAACTCTTAAGATTTTAACTCATAATAATTAATGTGTCTGGGGGCCTATAGCCCTCTCCCAGAGTAGAAAGGTTAAATTAATTTTAAACCTTAAATTTTGATATTTTGAAAGATCTTACTTTAGCTTTGCAGTGAAAAGTTTCAAAGAGGGGAATTTTAAAATGGTAGATAAATATAACAATGAAAATTTGAAATTAATAGTAAGATGTATAAATATAAGATTAATAATAATAAAACAGTAATATATTTTAACCAGCATCTAAAATTTTTGACTTTGGTGGTGGGGGGAGGGGAGATTTGCATTTCTGATACACCTGAAAGAAAGTAGAGATCACCCTTCTCTTTTCTGCCAGGTCAAAAAAATCATAAAATGTTTTTTTATTTATCACAATTTAATGTTTTTAAACGAAAGTGACAAAAATTTTCAAAATTACACTTTTTTACAATATAAGCTTTGGATTTTCAAAATCAAATCAGAAATGTAGATTAATACAAGAAATAAATTTAGCTTGGAATGAAAAAATTTTTTTTTTAAATTTTAGAATTTAATTTGTTTGGCAAAAATAAATATTTACAATCAAGATTGTCCAAAGAATTGCTGTGTTGAATATTTTCATTTCCTAAATTTAATTTAGCACCAACATTTTGATATTTTTCTACTATAAATTATAATATTAACAAGTTTAAAAAAGCATTTACAATTATCATTAAATTTTAGTTTGATAGCCACACCTAGTAACCAATCTAAAATCTCATGTCTTTCATCTTCTAAATATGGGCATGCTATTTCTTTTAAATACTATTAAACAATGAATATGACTAGTGTTCAAAATACCTGTTGAAAAACGTTAAACCAATTAATATTGTTTAAATCATGTAAATTTCTATCTAATTTTCTAAATTTTAAGTGGTTTATTTCTAACCATACTATTAATTTTTTAAAAAAAACATCATCTAGATTAAAGTTTATTATATAACTGGTATAAATAGATAAACTTGCACAATCAAAATCGTTTCGATTATGATAATCCAACGATTTAAGTTTTCGTAAGAACATAAGCTTATTTTGCGGTATAAGCAAAAGGCGGAAAATAAATGAATAGAAGAAATTTGGTCAGTTTTAGAATTAAATTGGTTAACCCCGAATTATATGATACGTAATAAAAAGTCTGTTGCCCTATAGTTGTAAATATAACAGAGCTACGCTAGGTATTCTTCGTTTCCATAACTGGATATTAAAAAATTTGGGGGAAATTTATATGAGGAGGTCTTTAGTTTGTCTATAATTTTTAAGGGGGGGGGGGAGCAGGCATTTAAGGGTGTAGTGTAGGGTAAATTTATTGCGTTCATCAATTAAATTAATAGATGAAATAAAACAATATATATTGCTGTGGATAAAATTTATATATTGCATACAATCCTTATGCATTTATAATAAATAAGGTAAATTAATTTAATTCATATTCTAAAAAATAATTCTTGCACATTCACATTACTCGATAGTTTGTAGTAGAGCATTACTTATGTTATTCATTTTATAATATACGAAGAAATTACCATTACAAGCTAAAGGACAAAATATATTCATGTAAAAAATAGTTTGAAACTTTAATATCCACTTATTATAATCATAAACTTATATAAACATAGATTACTCAACGTCGAATTGGACAATGTTATAAACCATTCATTTGTAAGCCATTTATAAAATAGCTGGTTTCATATTATCGTATATCTTAATTAGTTTCGGGGCTAGAGCCCCTTGAAAAATTTGAATAGCCTCCTGAAGCAAATAAAATGGTTATTTAATGGCTCCTAAATATCCCCTTAAACTAAAATAAATTTTTTTGATTGCCCCCTGAACGATAATTCTATTAAGTAATATATAGATTTAATTTTATTATTTAAAAATAAATGAGACTATCTAAATTTTTATTAAATGAATAGTATTTTAATTATTAGATTAGATTAATAAATACATATAATTATATTTTCCACTATGTCAGCTTGCAATCAAATTTGATGTCAAAAATAGAATATCAATTTAGCATTAACAGTTGAAACTTAATTGCATAGTAAAAATGTTAAATAGAACAGGACTAAAAAGGATTGCATTATTTGAAAAAGCAAAAGGAATAGTAACAGAACAAAATATTATACAATTTTATAAACCGGATCTTGAGTTAATACTAAAAACAGATGCATCTAACAAAGGATTTGGAGCTGTACTCATGCAAAAATATGATAATGGTAACGAATAACCAATAGCTTACACCTCGAGAACTTTACAAGATGCTAAAAAGAATTATTCGACAATCGACAAAGAAGCCAAAGCTATAGTAAACGGCGTAGAAAAATTTCATAACTATTTGTATGGACGAAAATTTAAAGTACTAACGGACCTCAAACTTTAATAAAAATATATGGCGATAACAGAGATTTAAACTCCTTAACAAACCAAAGATTATTACGTTGGGCTTATAAATTATCGGCATATGATTATGATATAATGGCGCTAATAATGCAGATGCTTTATCGCGAAACCCAATAGAGAAAAATGATGATAAAATAACAAGAGAAAATAAAACAGTGAAATATATACGAAATCTAAGTTATGACACATTAACTCTATCAAGAAAGGAACTTAGAGATGAAACTGCGAAAGATCAAATTTTAAGAAGAGTAAAATATTAATAAATGGTACAATTATACAAAATCAAGCACCAGAATTACAAGCTTTTAGAACAAGAATAAATGAAATAGAAAATGATGACGGTATCCTATTTTGGAATGGTTGATTTATAATTCCATATTCACTACAAAAACGAGTTTTACAGATATTACATATAGGTGATCCGGGTATAACATCAATGAAATCCATTACGAGACATTATATATGGTGGGAAAAATTAGATAAAGATTTCGAAAAATTAGTCAACCGTTGTATTGGGTGTCAAAAACATCGCAGAGATATACCAGAAGTTGCCGTATACCCGTGAATCCAGCATAACACTGGGAAAGGATACATTTAGATTTTGCCGGACCACTAGACGGATTTTATTGTCTTGTAGTAATCGATGCATATTCAAAATGGATAGAGATCGATAGAATCGAAGATACCACAAGTAAAAATTTAATAAATATATTAGAAAAATGGCTCTATTTTGTTCCACGTCAAATTGTCACAGACAATGGTCCACAATTCATTTCAAATGAATTTTATAAATGGTGCAAAAATAAGAATATACAACATATAAAAACTACACCATACCATCCGAGAAGTAATGGATTAGTAGAAAGATGCATACAAACTATCAAAAATCGGTATTTTGCAAATAGAGAACAAACAAATGATGGGGAAAAATGCCTAAGTGAAGTATTAGTTACATATAAATTCCGAACACTCTTCAACGGGCCGAATACCTGCCAAACTATATATGGGGAGAAGACTAAATACTTTATTAGACTGGGTGAAACCTTCAATTACTAAAATTAGAAACCTCTGTAGTAAAACACGACCAGTTAAACAAAGGCCTACATAGATATTTTGGAGAAAACGAATTAGTTTGGATAAAAAACCCACGTGAAAAAAGGATGGCATGAAGGAAAAATAATAAATCAACAAGCAAAATTATCACATAACGTAGAAGAAAAAGATAAAATATTACGAAAGCACGCAGACCAACTACGAATAAGGGAAGAACCAGTTGAAACCAAATCATTAATTACAAAATAAAGTTAGGAGAATCTAAAACAGTAGAAACAATTGAACCAAGTCAAAAAGGAAGGCAAACGTAATATCCAACAAGGGAACGAAAGCCAACAAAAGATTAATAGATGGACTTGAACTTGGTAAATAAAATGATTGATAGACGATCTTAACTTGGTGAGAAAGAAGATATGTTATATTTGAATATCTATATTTTAAAGGTTATGTTATATATTTTAAAAGGTTACGTTATTTGTATAATATATTATTATAACTTTCCTACATTTAATATTATCTTATGGAGGTCAATGTAATTGCATAATATTAGAAGTTAAATGACAAAATTATAAAATACTATATATATATAGGAAACAATTTAAAATAAAGTAACCGATTGTTTTGACTATAAAACCAAACTGTAGATGAAAATTCACTGCACTGCCCCTTTTGGGTGGTGGAAGCCACTTATTTGTGTGTTTTTAATATGATAAGCTATTAATGAGTAGATGCAATGATACACCACACCACATTAATTTTCACAGAATAACTAATTATATTTTTTTATGATCATTCATTAAATTTATTTTTAGATTTGCCATCAAATATTTTGTTACAATTAAGGATCATATAATCATTCGAAAATTCACTAATCTATTGAAACAAATACTCTAAAAAGATAAGCACACTATTTATTAATTATATATTTTCTTATTTTTCTATTCTTACCAGTGTAAATTACTGTCGGGCCCTGACAGTAGGGTGAATTACTGTCAATTAGTTTATCAGGTATCATCATCCTTCTTTAATTAAATGAGCCCTGAAAGTATGGTAAATTTTACTGCCAAACAGTGGATACAAATTCTTTGCACTAGATATGCCCCCTTTTGGGTGGTGGAAGCCACTTAATTGTGTTTTTAATATGATAAACTATTAATGATTAAATATGATACACCACATTAATTTTCACTGAATAACTAATTAAATTTTTATATTAAATATTAACAGTTGAGTCTTTAAATCTTCCATCAAATTTATTCTGAAATCTAGATATATACAAAAAATATAAGGAATAATTAATTCATATTTTCCATCAGCCTTAAGACAAAAAAATAACATACCACTTTCATTTTAATTTGTTCATATAGACTCCAATACCATTTCTGCCACAATAGATAGGACTTCATTTTGAATTTGAGGTATTTGTGTATTATAGCCATGTTTATGTTTTATAAAAAAAAAAATTCATCTTTTGGCAGGTGTATCGAAGAATCAATTATATTTTCTTCTGCAGCATCAGTTATTGTAGTAGAATCATACCCACAAATGGAAGCTTCTGCATGCTGTGAAATTGTATCAAATCAAATATCGAATACCTATAATTTGATGTTTCACCAAAATTATCGATATTCTCCTTTATATTATGATTTTTATCAAGCCATATTGAATTTAAATGACCTTTAGAGACTTCATGTTGTAACAACCATATTCTACTAAAAATTTTGTTGTTTTTTCATTTAGATGAAAGAAGAATGAAAATTTAATGATAAATTTTGGTATGAAAATATTTTTGGAGGCCATTTCTAGGAGCCAAAAAAAATTTGGAGACCCTATTTAGGGGCAAAATTATTTTTTTGAGGGGAGCAGGCGCATTTATGGCCCTGCTTCTCTCCCAAGGATCATATCTTGTTCCTGTTACCTCTATATTCATTACAAAATGGCCTAAATATTGTATACATACCATTCCATATCTTCCTGCCCCTTCTTTATCTTTCTCCTTTCTATTTCTAGCCTGATAATATTCCTATTATGAACACCAAATGTAAATCAATGTTAAAATCATAGAAATCCATTTTCTGTGTTTCATATATGCTATTATATACATCCAATAATTACAACTAAATTAGCCATTCATTCATTAAATGCATTTAAATGTGTCCATATATAGGAGGCAGCTGTGGCGCCATTTGTGATTTGCATGTCGATTAAATGACATCAATGTGCATTCATATAAGATAAATAAAGACAATTAGTCCAAGTGCAAACCACCAAATGACGCTATAGCCAAATCTACACTTTAAATTAATGAATCGTCAATCGATTACTATATATACATCATTGTGCGCTAAATATTTTTTGCATCTTAAAATATAAGCAATAAAATTTACCATAATTATTACTCCGAAAAGGTATTATTTTGTGAAATATATTAGGGTTCAATGTTTACACCGTTTTCTTAAATTAAGTGGTTAAAAACAGATATTTAAATCAAAATAGAGAACTGTTAAACCAGTGGCTATTATTTACAGAACCTATATCGATCCGAAACCCTTAAAATATAAATTTATCAGTCTAGACTAAACCAACATTTAAAAA